TCTATTGGCCTGGCATGGAGGGTGACCTGCAGTATCATCGGTCCCGGTGTGCTGCTTGCGAGACCCACGCCCCTTCCCAGCCTCCGGAGTCGTTGGTTCTGACCCCAGCACCAGACTATCCCTTTCAACAAGTGGTGGCCGATTTGTTCCACCTGCAGGGCCGCACGTACCTAGCATATGCTAACTGACTGACAGGTTGGCTGGAGATCGCCCACTTCCCCAACGAGGCCACCTCTGGAAAAATCATCGCCAGTCTGCGGGCCTACTTCACGAGGTGGGGGGGTACCTGAGCAGATCTCCACGGATGGAGGTACCAACCTTGCCAGCCTTGAGATGACAGATTTCCTCAAGTCATGGGGGGTCGAGGTGCGCCTCTCGTCGGCCCACTTCCCCCAGTCCAATGGCAGGGCAGAGGCTGGGGTCAAAGCTGCCAAGAGGCTCCTCAGGGATAACACTGGGCCCGGGGGTAGCCTGGACTGCGATAGGACATCCCAGGCCCTCCTCCAGTACCTGAACACGCCTCTGCGGGGGGTGAACAAGTCGCCCGCCCAACTTGCCACCGGCCGCCAGCTCCGTGACGGCGTTCCCGTGGCCAGACAGCACTATAAGGTGGACCAGCACTGGCGGCGGGCACTTCGTATGAGGGAGGTGCGCTTGGCCGAAACCCAAGATGGGGTCTTGTCGCGGAGGGAGGTATCCCGCCAGCTGGCTCCCCTAGTCGTGGGCACGCAGGTGCGTGTGCAGGACACAGCTACCAAGCTCTGGGACAGGACAGGCATAGTGGTGGAAGCCCGCCCTCACAGGCAGTATGCCGTTAGGTTGAGTGGCAGTGGCAGGGTGTTCATCCGCAACAGACGCCACCTGCGAAACGGCTCCACACCTGTGCCTACTACTCCAGTGGTGCACCAAGCTGTGCCTCCTGGTCCCCCTTCTGCTGTGCCATCCGTACCCGCGCCCTCCTTCGCACCCACGGCCCCTCCCCAGTCGAGCGCGGCCAGGCCCAGGAGAGGCCGTAGGCCTCCGGGCTGGTTGACGGACTACGTGGTGTAGTGTATGTGATGTAAAATCAGTTTAGAGGGTTTTTTTTTTCCTTTGTTTGACTGGTTTTTCCTGCATTATTGTTGTTTTTATGAATGCATTGTTTTCCTTTTGTTAGTTCAAATGTGCATTGTCATTTCCTTTTAACTTGGGGGGGGAGATGTAAGATTGTACCATCGTACCATATGTTTTCCCATGTTGAGATGGGGGCTTGTCTTTGGCAGCGCCCGGTTGCCAGTCACCAGCTGACGCTGTTAGAATAAAGTCTACAAAGAAAGTGGTCTATGACTCCAACCTCTCACACTTAGTATTACCATTTCACAAAAATTTCTCTCAAATTCCTTTACAACTAAAAACCTGGAATGTCAATGTGGCATTTAAAAACTCATGCACTGTTAAACTAATGTTAATCAAGAACTCCCCCCAACAATACAAGTGGCTGCATTTATAAGGTTCTTTGCAAGGAATGTAATATGTTTTACTTATGCCAGACAGGTAAAGATTTTGTAACTAGACTTAAACAACATAAATATAGTGTTAGGACAGGCCAGGAATCCAATGCTCTGTTTGTTCATTTGAGGGATAATAAGCATTGCATTGACTGGGATAATGCCTCCTCAATATTACCTTGTAATTCAGTTGACAGTAATGGTATATACAAACTGGACAAATTTGTAATTAAGAAGATTTGTAACCAGGTGACAAGGTTGGGTCAACTTACACTCTGACCTGACTACCGACCGCTGCGGTGCTTTTTAAAGATTAGTAGGGTCTTTACCTAATAACTGACCATTGTGGACCTGATCTCACCCTCCTCTGTATATATACACCTTGTTTTGTAATTCTCCTTAGTCTGTACTCACCCCTGAAGATGTGAATTACACGAAAGCGCTGGGAACTTCGTGTTTATATATATATATATATATATATATATATATATATATATATATATATATATATATATATATATATATATATATATATATATATATATATATATATATATATATATATATATATATATATATATATATATATATATATATATATATATATATATATATATATATATATATATATATATATATATATATATATATATATATATATATATATATATATATATATATATATATATATATATATATATATATATATATATATATATATATATATATATATATATATATATATATATATATATATATACAGTCAACCCTCACTTTACGCGGTCCCACATTCCGCGTTTCCACGTTTACGCGGTGCCCTGCCAGAACCCAGGATGCTCACATTCCACGGTGGGTGTACCCCTTTACACGGTGAAGTATAATTTTTTTATTTAGCTCATAAAATTCATACAAATTATCCGGCCAGAATATAAAATACATTGCTGGAATTCTTACAATTTGATGATCATTTTGAATATAAACATCATAGATTTTGCATTAGACATACAAATTTTAGATAAAATGTTTACTCTTGAGTAAATATGTTATCTTTTGTGCAAAATATATGACGTTTATATTCAAAATATTCCTGGTCTTACAAGGAATCCAGCAATGTCAATTATATTATCCTAACTTTAATCTGAGGTATTATTTAATACAAAATGTTAAAATTTATTTTTTCACCCAACCTTTCTCTTGAAGGGAGGATTGGTGGGGGGTGGGGGGGAGGGTTGGGACTGACCACGCGGTTGGAAGAGGGGGAAAGGCAAGGTGGGGTACTTTGATTGACAGATAGTGTCGTGAAGAATATTTTTTTTTTTATTAACTGAAGATATTTGTTTTAGCTCATAAAATTCATACAAATTACCCGGCCAGAATATAATTTACATTGCTGGAATTCTAACAATTTTGTGATCATTTTGAATATAAACATCATATATTTTGCATTAGACATACAAATTTTAGATAAAATGTTTAATCTGAGTAAATATGTTATCTTTTGTGAAAAATATATGACATTTATATTCAAAATATTCCTGGTCTTACAAGGAATCCAGCAATGTCAATTATATTATCCTAACTTTAGTTTGAGTTATTATTTATTACTATACCTGGTTTTCCCCCAAAAATTTCTCAGAGAGGGAAGAGCCAGCAGTGTTGTGTGAGAAGAGGGGGAGGGAGTTGAGTCCATTATTTGAATGGACATTAACTTGGCGACTGTATTTCTCTATTTCTCTTAAGTATTAATTGTGTGCATGTACCATCATAAAATTAAGATGTTATTTTTACTAGAACATAGGTATTGTGTTGGAAAAAGTGGAGTTTGGGGGTCAGCTGGTCTCTATTTCATTTAATCCCATATGTTATGTTATTCACTTTATGCGTTTCTCACTTTCCGCGGTACCCTGTGGGTTACATTAACCTCGTAAAGTGAGGGTTGACTGTATATATATATATATATATATATATATATATATATATATATATATATATATATATATATATATATATATATATATATATATATATATATATATATATATATATATATATATATATATATATAGTTCGAGTTTTTAAGACCAAATTTTTAGGCAAAAAATTGGGGGTCGTCCTATACATGCGTAATTGTTTTGTTAGGTTGAACCCGTGCATGATGGGAAGGGCGAGGAGCAACTTTTAGCTTCAGACATGAAAAATATTTACCATTTACTCCCAGTAAACAATGGAAACGTAAAATATGTACCAATTAGTAATGAATAGTTGTGCAGTTCCTTCAGCAAATGAAGCTCGCCAACTTACAATAGGCTAAATTATCTTACGTGCTTTCAGTAGCCTGTGTTGAAGTTCTTAGCACAGGCTAACTTATCATATCATATACGGTATCACAGTTCTCATTGATCTACAAAAAATACCGGTAATAAAAACTTTTCGATATTTCACACTTAATATAATACCCGGTAATCTACTTCAACCTCCTATTGTTTACAATAATGCATGACGCACCACCAGCTGTTGCGTATCAGCTAGACGGTACACGTGTTTTTCGAATCGTTTTCAGTTAAAAAACTGTTACATCACATGTATATTTTACCTTAACTGTGCCTGAATGAATATATTCTCAGAAATAAATAGTAATTTTGCTGAAACGTGATGTATTTCAATGTAAAATAGGATAAAATACATGACGAAAACAAAAGACTTTACCTAAGCTTCCGATGTTCTTGAGATGTTACTCGTTTTCTTAATAGTTTTCGGTTAAAATACTGTTATATTACAATGATATTCTATTCATACTGTGCTTGATATAATACATTCACGGAAATGTAATATTTTTGCTGAAATTACGTACGTATTACAGTGGAAATTGGGATAAAATCATGACGAAAACAATGACTCGCTTTCTTTCGTTCAAAAGATGTTACCGTAATCACTTTTCGAATGATTTAGTTAAAAAACTGTTGTATTACAATAATATTCCCTCCTAATTGACTTGAATGGAAATATACAATATTTTTGTTGAAACTACCCGCGTTTCGGTGTAAAGTGTCGTAATAATAAATGGTAAACAATTTGCTTTCGGCACTCGGTGTTTCAGGCACGGCGAGCCTCAGTTCATAGGACGTAGAGTGTTTTTACTGAAGGTTTTATTGTTCCATTACCCTCAAAAACGTGGGTCGACCTATAAACGAGGGGGGTTATAGATGAGTATATACGGTATATATACGTGGATCACGCGCACCTACAGTGATTTACTTGTATATATATATATATATATATATATATATATATATATATATATATATATATATATATATATATATATATATATATATATATATATATATATATATCAAGATATAAGTGTGTTTTTTAATACTGTCCTGATTGTCCCTCATTTCTTTGACATTTCTATACCTGTTGACCTCTGCCCCGCACAAAATTAAGAAATTAATATTGATGATACAGTATATTGATATATCAGATTTTGTTAAATTTCTGGAATTCCCATAGGTGTTACAAAAACTTATCCCATGGTTGCTAAGATGTCGTGGACAAATTGTGGCAGTGGACGCCTCCTCCGACCAACAAGAACATGAGCAGACAAACTACGCTGAGGTATCTGAGCTAGAGAAAAAAATTCATCTGCATTCTCTCAGGAATTATGCTTATCAACCATCACCCAGCAGTATAATGCTACCGGTAAGTACTTCACAAATTGAGTATCTCATTAAATTCATACTGTGCAGTTATAAATGAGGTGCTACCATATTTTTCGGCTTAAAAGACGCACTTTTTATGACAAAAATCTACCTCGAAAATTACCATGCGTCTTCCAGGATGCTAGTTGATGAGTTGTAGCAGACATTTTTGAAATCAGCCCCTTACAAAGACTGTTACCTCATTACAGTACTTAACAATTACAAGTATTCTCTATACAGTACTATAAAACTATTGATTTAACTAATATTGTTGATATATGGCAAAAAAAAAATATTAATAAACCCTTGCTGCTGTGTGGTTTGTTTACTAATGGCAGTGGTGCGGCAGCGCCATCTATTGAAGAATTGCTAAAGGTTGTCTGCTGGTTTCAAATGCAGGAATGTTTGTTTCTTTATATGTAGGCTCTCATATTTGGACACCTATTTACAGTAGGCTCTCATATTTGGATACCCATTTAGACTGTAAAAACCCCACAAAATTAAAATCTTCCAAATTTAAATACAACTTCGTCATCCAAGTAAAAACACACACACACAACAACATTGGCTGTCCTTATGTTTTAACTTTATTACCACTGGTGGGTAGAATTTTTTTTAATTCAGAAACATTAATTAAAATATATATGAACAGTAAATAAGTGTTGCTTTCATATTCTTATGTAGAGTAATGATGATATGTGCTCACTTACATACGCGATCTCACTTTTTTTTTACCCTTAATTGTTAGCTACTTCCATTGTTCCATTTATTAACATTAAATAACATTACTTAAAACAACCATACTAATTTTACTACAGCTACAACCAGGGTCTTATTTTCTTCAGTTTTATATGTAGAACCAATCAGTCACTGGTTTTGTAAACAACAAAAACAATGACGTGTTTTAATATTTTTCATATTATTAATGAATTGTATTGTTCAATTTGCACACATAAACAATAATTCAATCAAAAAGAAATTCAGAAACATTAATTAAAACATATACGAACAGTAAATAGGTGTTGCTTTCATAATCTTATGTAGAGTAATGATATGTTTACACGTGCGCACTTACATACACGATCTCACTTTTTTTTACCCTTAATTGTTAGCTACTTCCATTGTTCCATTTATAACATTAAATAACATTACTTAAAACAACCATATTAATTTTTCAACATTAATTTTAATACAGCTACAATGGAGGACTTATTTTCTTCAGTTTTATAATTATGTAGAACCAATCAGCCACTGGTTTTGCAAAAAACGAGTTGTTTTTTTACTTTTATTTTGTTTTTAAATAATGATTTTTTGTTTTATACAGACGTTGATATACATGTTTACATTTGCTTACCTTCTACTGTTGGAAAATATTTCCCGTCATTGTCATACCGACAAAAACAAAAGAAAGAATGTAAACACTACAGTCCCTTAGATGTGGAGGTGACCAGGTGTATAAAATGAGTGCTGTATTAAAGATTTCACCTTCTTATACAGATTTTTTTTAAATTTCTGAAAATGACGACTGATAAGCAGTTCTAAGTGATGATATTCAAAGAGATGTGTGTCTAATGGTAGACCCTGCTGCTATGTGACTAAGTCCCAGGTTGATGATCTGACTTTCTGCAGGGTCTCAATTGTTTCTCTTACTTTGACAAGACAACATACATACAGGTATATTGCTTCTCACTCTTGATATTTTTTTTCATTTTTGTATTTCTTTATTATTATTATTATTATTATTATTATTATTATTATTATTATTATTATTATTACATTTTCGCCCCCTAGGCCCCAATGTGGGTCAGTGACCTGTGCCCAGGTGGGCTAAATCCCGTAATTTTTTTTTTTTAGAATTTCATTTCTAAAATCAGGGTGCGTCTTCCACGATGCAGCGTCTTCCAAGCCGAAAAAAGAAAATATATATATATATATATATATATATATATATATATATATATATATATATATATATATATATATATATATATATATATATATATATATATATATATATATATATATATATATATATATATTACTACTGCACTTCAACATCTAAAGTCTTAAGTGTATAACCAGGTGGTGGTGGTCATGATGCATTCATATGTGTGTTTGCAGTTTTCTTGCATCATTTTTTCATTGTTTAAACATTTTTATTAAAACATAAAGTTGCAGACCTAAAATTAATTACGTATAGCATTTAACACTTTCAGGATAATGATAGCAACTTGTGGTCATTACCCAATGGGGGAATAAAAATAATATATATAACATTATGAATCCTACTATAAACTGAGCTACACCACCAAAGCTCAAGGGTTTACCTCATCCTTGCCACTAAAACTTCCTTAACATTCACTATATTCACTACCGTATATCACGGCCTATAAGACGAAATTTGAACATTAAAAAAATCTGCCCAAAGTTAGGGGGTCGTCTAAACCACCAAGTTTAAAATTCTTACCTCTTAAATATTGTGGTTTAGTGTGTCAAGAGTGGTGATGAAAACATCGTAAGCCACTCACAAGGTCTTACCACTAATTATTTTATACTGAAACTTACGTCTGGCAAGCTGGATTCAAATTAAGATTACCGGTATATTAAAATAATAAAAATGTATTATAAACCTGTCTAACATACCGTAAAAGAGATTTATACCCCTGTAATAAACACAGCTATCATCACACACCCCTCCCCACGCCCCCCCCATTTGCCAGTGAGGAGACAAGAAAGGGAAAGTGACCCGAGATTGGGCTATTTTTAGCCGTGGAGGTGGTCAGTAATGCATACCGGTATCGGTATATTTACTCATAATAATATTTATCTCCTATAAATAATTGATTTAAATTTTATTTTTTTACAAAGAATATTCAGTAAATGAGTGCGTTAATTCTTGAAACTATCAACAGTTAATTACAGACGCTTAAGTGACGTCACTAGTGTTTACACTACACCAGCCGGTAACATTTGATGCCATTACTTGAAATGAATTGGCCTTATTTTAAGTAACTATAAATAAATACAAAAATTAAAGAAAAAGATCAAAAGTGAGAAATAATATACTGTATGTATGTTGTGTTGTCAAAGTAAGAGGAACAATTGAAACTGCAATTCGGTAAATCTATTTCAAGTAAATGGAAAATAAGCAAACATGTTATTTACCAAGACGCTTCCCTCTGGCTCAGGGTGAGATGGAGGGGAGATAAGGCTATTTATAGCTCGTCTGAAGTGGCCAGTACCCTAATGCACCATAAATAATTCATTGAACATTCATTTTTTGTACATAGTATATTCAGTATATATATATATATATATATATATATATATATATATATATATATATATATATATATATATATATATATATATATATATTTGTGTAATAAATGTATGTAGTAAGTACATACTGGTAACCTTTTTCACTCAAATCCTAATGAAACACCACAATTAGAATACGGTGGTTGCTGTTGAACCACATGTTGTATAAATAGTCGGAACACAGCCACACCACCGAGACGAGGGAACACTCCCACCACCGATCGTCTCGTGTGAAGCAAGCGTATAAATGAAAGAAAATACTTGCAGTGTGTTTAATATGTTACAGTATATTATAAATAAACAAATAAACAAATAAATCAGTAAATCCATTTCAAGTAAATGGAAAAATTTTACTCGATACCGACATTAGTTCCAGTTATCGGTAAATAGCAGACGCTTCAGTGACATCACTAGTGTTTACACTACACCAGCGGGTATAATTTGATGACATTACTTGAAGTGAATTGGCCTTATTTTAAAAAATCAAGGATGGTTGGTAAAGGACTACTGAGTCAGTGGGTAAGTGTCACATTTGGGGTACTGGTCTTATACAGCAAATAGAGCTCAAAAGCTACTTTTTAAATGGAAATTTGGGGGGGGCGTCTTATGCACCCCGCCGCCTTATAGGCCGTGATATACGGTATATATATATATATATATATATATATATATATATATATATATATATATATATATATATATATATATATATATATATATATATATATATATATATATATATATATATATATATATATATATATATATATATATATATATATATATATATATATATATATATATATACAGTCAACCCTCACTTTACGCGGTCCCACATTCCGCGTTTCCACGTTTACGCGGTGCCCTGCCAGAACCCAGGATGCTCACATTCCGCGGTGGGTGTACCCCTTTACACGGGTGAAGTATAATTTTTTTTAATTTAGCTCATAAAATTCATACAAATTATCCGGCCAGAATATAATTTACATTGCTGGAATTCTTACAATTTGATGATCATTTTGAATATAAACATCATAGATTTTGCATTAGACATACAAATTTTAGATATAATGTTTACTCTTGAGTAAATATGTTATCTTTTGTGCAAAATATATGATATTTATATTCAAAATATTCCTGGTCTTACAAGGAATCCAGCAATGTCAATTATATTATCCTAACTTTAGTCTGATTTATTATTTATTACTAAAAAGGTAAACAGTCTGGTATTCCCACACATTTATCTAGTAGGGACGTTGGTGGGGGGGAAGGAGGGAGGGACCGGCGACCGACCATCTGTTACCGTGTGAAGAATATTTTTTTTTTTATTAACTGAAGATTTTTATTTTAGCTCATAAAATTCATACAAATTACCCGGCCAGAATATAATTTACATTGCTGGAATTCTTACAATTTGGTGATCATTTTGAATATAAACATCATATATTTTGCATTAGACATAAAATTTTTAGATAAAATGTTTAATCTGAGTAAGTATGTTATCTTTTGTGCAAAATATATGACGTTTATATTCAAAATATTCCTGGTCTTACAAGGAATCCAGCAATGTCAATTATATTATCCTAACTTTAATCTGAGGTATTATTTAATACAAAATGTTAAAATCTAAATTTTTCACCCAACATCTCTTGAAGGGAGGAGTGGTGGGGGGTGGGGGGG